AAGGGTCCTGTGGTTAAGGCTTGGGGTCTCCTTTAGGTTCGATCTAGAGAGAAAAAACCATATTGCAGTAATTTGCCTTTAGTTTCCAACCTTTTAGTTCGGCCAACCTAATCGTGAAGTCCGGTTTCCTTCGACTAATATAGCTAAACTGAGAAGGGAAAAAGGTTAGAGTTGCAAATGTGTTCTATGGGGTGTATTATTGTAACATTGCTTGCAGTTATTAATCCCAGTCCATAGCTGGCTCACTCTCTTCTGGAGTAGTCTTTATTAAGCGGCAGTCGTAGATACGGAATATGCGGGTTTGGCTGAAGGTTTTTTTTAAATGCATAAACTGAATTCAAATGCCTCGCAACAATGCAAACATACAACCCACTTTAGAAGCATGAAGAACATGTGGACAATTGCTTTCATGTATATGTGCTTCTCGCCGATTGGGTAATGCAACAGTGTACGTTCCATTTTTGCCCTAGAGCCCAATAGAAACTCCCCGGACGCAGTCACACAGCAAAATTATTTCAAATACATTGGTAGAAAGGAGACCCTTTTATGCTATGCCATTCTATCAGAATTGTCTTCAGGGTACCATTCAAATGAATGCAGTGGTATATTTTGGCAAAGTGCCCTAACAAGCATTCTTGGGAAACAAACGATGCTGCTCCAAAAAACATTACTTAGCAATATCTTTTTTTTAAAAACGTCCTTTCCATATTTGAGAGAATGTATCTCCGTGGTGCTAATGAACGTTTCCTTGATTGCAGTGATAGCAAAGCAGTACATCATACTATTAACGGTCGCAGCATGTAATAAAGTAGAGACGGAAATAAATAAATTTGAAAAAACTTACATGTGCCGGTTGTTTCCTCGATGAGAACTTCCCTACTCAGGCCGCCGCCCATGCCCTGGCTGTTGGGTGCAATCTTTGCCTGAACGTAGATTTTGTAGTTTGCAGGTAACGCCGTCAAGGTGATGCTTGTTGTTGTAGGTGGTACCGTTTCTTTGCGCTCTACCTTGTCGTTCTCTTTGACTAGCACGTAGTACTCCTGAACAATACCATACAGGCCTTGTGGAGCCGACCAAGTCACCTTTACCATTCCAGGTGACAAGACTTCCAACTTTCCCGTAGTTGGCTCGAATACACCTGCAGAGGGGTATAGGTAAGACATTCTAAGCATTCGATGATTGCTTTGAGAAATTTGACAGACGTATCTACTGCGCGGAATGCACAAAGACTATCATCAAAACCATAAACCCTCGAACACATATCCAAGAGTTAAGTTAAATTGCAGCGTATTTTCGCATTCTGTGGTGCCTGAAGTCTGATCAGGACAACAGATAAAAAGTAAATTTCCCAAAGCAGTGGGCGTTTCCTTTTTGCCTTATGGGCTAAAGAGTCCTTATGAAAAACGTGTTTTACTACACAGAACTAAGTAACTTTTTCTCAGTAGGTTCACAATATTTTTATTTTTAGTTTATTTAGTGTAGTTAAGTGGGTTTTCTTAAGGTTGATTAATTAATTTGAAGTGTGGGTAGTTCACTTTTAGTTTTTTTTTAATTTTTCTTCCCCATTTTATGCTGACTCATATAACCCCCTATTATCGCCTGGCCCGTATTAAACGAAACTGGGGTTTTATGTTATGAGGACCTTCCTTTGTTTCCGCCCTCTCAAATCTATCCATCCGAATGTGTTATCTAATTGTTAACGAGACGTTATTAATTAATATCGCAGGTTCTGCCATGTCACATGGTGCTACAGTAGC